CACCACCCTCACAGCCAAGAATTTCTTCCCAATAGCCCATCTAAATCTGCCCTCTGTCAGTTTAAACCCTCAGTCCCATGGGTGTATCCACCATCATCAGTTCCCAGTGAGCCCAAAGCTAGCTTGGATCTAAAAGCCCATCCCCAGGTCCCTTTCCATCCCCAGGACCAACCTCCACTTACTGGCCTCACATAGGGAATTTGTGGCCATTCCAGAGGCCTTGGCAACTCTCCAAGTCCTTCACTCAGGGCATTTTCCTCCATGCTGGCACCTGGAGTTTGACCCCTCCTCGGCATGGACATCTCCATGGGTGGGTCACATAGATCAGAAACCAGAGGGGGGAAATCAGAGCAAACATGCAACTTGTCACGGACCCCTCCCAGTGCTCTGATACACCCAGAGCTAAAATATCCCCCAAATCCAAGTGTTTGCTCTCCACAACCACCTGCTCTGGCTTCATTTCCCTTTTTTTTTTCAACAGCAGATCCATCTGCAGTTGGGTCAGAGGTAATAAAAGCTGGGAAGTGCCTCCTGTCTCATCCAGATCCTCTGCCCATCTGCAGGCAGAACCAGCTCCATCAGAGCTGGGGTAGGTTGGACACTGTCTCCCCACTATGTGCAATGGGAGGGGTGGGAGTTCATTCAGAGGGAAATTTGGGATTGTTCTCCCTGCTCATGGCTTCATCAGCACTAAGGGATCAGGGATGGAGCCCTTCCCGCTGCTCATCCCACCAAGGTGGCAATTTTGTCCTCAGGTTTCAGCTGATCTGATGATGCAGGATAGGCCCCACAGCTGCAGAGAGGCCAGTTTTGTCCCTGACATATATCCCCCAGCAGCCATGGAAGGAGAGGATGACAGATCAAGGCTGTGTTTCCTTTGGGGAAGCTTCAATCCCGAATTTAATGGAGCTCATAGAAATACAAGCTTTGGGAAATACAAGAAGATGCTCCTTCAGTGTCCCACTGATGGGATGTCAGGTGACAGCGTGTCTGCAGAGACACTCACCAGACGAATGTCACCTTGGTGGAAGGGAAACAAATAAAACCTACTATTTAATCCATCCAGAAAAACGGCTTGTGGAATCCACAGTGTGCTCATTTTGTACGGGAAGATCTGTCACTGGGAGTGCTCTGCCTGTGGCTGGTGAGAAAATGTCCTTTTAACTGCAGGGATCCCAAATCTCTGGAGTCACCCGCAGTGCACATACCTCTGTATCTGCAGCACTTTGGGATCAGAAGCACCATTTGGGCTTCATCCCCCATATATCAGCCACATCCGTGATCTGATCTCAGCACCAGTTTTCTGGGATGAGTTGATGCTATCTTACTTCCCATAAAACACGTGCAAAGGAGGGCGACAGCCATAAATAAGTTTGGAGCTGGTTTTGTGTATTTTTCAAGCTCTGACTTGGACTCTAGGCCAGGATATTTGAGCACTAATGAGGCGAGATGTTGTCAGCCTCAGGCAGGGATTTTCTCCATGAAAAAAAAAAAAGTGGGTTTGGGAAATGAAGAGGAAAGATGAGAAACCCTGAAGACACTGAACACTTCCAACCTCCATGGATGGCAGGCTGGGGCTGCAACACACCTGTGGTTCCCAACACTTCCCCTGAAGTTAAATTACATTTGGCTGCTTGGATAATGATGGGATAATTACTTCCAGTGAGGCAGACACAGTCCAGATGCACTTCTCCTTCCATAACTGCTCTAACACCATCCTAAGCCCCAAGGAAATGCCATTTCCCAGGTCCCAGGGGGCCAGCTGGATGGCAGCAGAGCTTTGCCAGGTTTCCTCTTGACTTTATTTCATCCATCTGCAGGAAACACTTGGGGACACACAGCAGCATCTTTCTTTCCAGGGAATAAACAGGAGTTGGGTCCTCTTCAAAATCCAGGTGCTCGGAGCTGGTTTGTTCAGCTCTTCACACATTTCCACCCCCCAGGATTTACTGGTGGTTGGATACAGCCCTGTCTAGGAGAGGTTAAAAAGAACTAAAGAGTCAGGTCCCTGGGTATTCCAAGCCCTAAGCATGTTTCCAAAACAGAATGTAAACACTTTTATTGTGGCAGGGATTTATTCGTTCTTCCTGCCTTGTGTCATGGAGCCGAAGGAAAGGAGAGCACTTTTTCCCCCCTCATAAATAGCAGGGCGTGATCGGGCTCAGACATTTACACCAAGCAAGTGCATGGCTCCTTTCCCACCCTTCTGACGGTCCTGCTGTCAGGAATTTTCAATTTCCCTGCTTTGTGACCGCCCTGTTCCAGCGCTGGCAAATTCGGAGCAGCCAGAAGATATCACTTGGCTGGAGGGGTTTTTTTTCCCTTCTGCAACAGAATATGCCACAGTGGAATTGTCAGAGAGGACATGTGGAAATGTGGAAACCAGTGGAAATGTGTTATTTCAACCTTCCCCTTGGTCTTCAGCAACCAAAGCCTGGCCTCGGAGGTATCGGGAGGATTTCTCTGTTGGCTTCTCTGGATCCTCCCTGGCCCTGGTAAGAATCATAGGATATCCTGAGTCAGAAGGGATCCACAAGGATCATCCAGTCCAACTCCTGGCCCTGCACAAGCACCCCAACAATCCCACCCTGTCCCTGAGAGTGTTGTCCAAACCCTCTTTGATCTCTGGCAGCCTTGGGGCCGTGCCCACTGCCCTGGGGAGCCTGGGCAGTGCCCAACCACCCTCTGGGGGAAGAACCTTTTCCCAATATCCAAACTAAACCTCTCCTGACACAGCTCCAAACATTCCCTCAGGTCCTGTCACTGGTCACCAGACAGAAGCAAAGCACATTTCAAGTGTTGACTCAGCAAAGTGGCTGATCTCTGATCCAGCTTTCCTGTGCTGGACAAACTAATCAATATAATTGTCCTGTTGAAGCGAGTCCAGAGGAGGCCACCAAGGTGATCAGAGGGATGGAGCACCTCTGCTATGAGGAAAGGGTGAGAGAATTGGGATTGTTCAGCCTGGAAAACAGAAGGCTCTGGGGTGACCTAATCGTGGCTTTCCAGTACCTGAAGGGAGCTACGAGAAAGATGGAGAGGGACTATTTACAAGGGCCTGGAATGACAGGATCCAGATCATTTCCCCGCTCTGGTTTAGACTCTTGGTGTTGCAAAATCCACATGCAGAAAGGTTTGTCAGCACCTGTGGTGGTAAATAGGACAGCACTGGTCTCCAGGACTGACAAACCCAGCCCTGCTGGGGCAGGACAAAAGGTTTAACTGGGGGAAAGAAAGGATTTTTTCATCTTTTTTCAATATCCCACTAGAGCACAGGAGCTCTGGAGGTCGGGAGCTGAGATACACACACAGAGGATTGTGGTGCTCAGCTGTTAAATCCCATGGGCCAGATGGACCCTCTGGGTCAGGATGTCCCTACACAGCAGGTCGTTGGAAACTGGGAGGATGCACCTGGATGAGGCTCGTCCAAAAGTCACGGTATTCTCAGCGCAGGCCCAGGACCTCTGCTCTGAACCTCACTGGGGAGAGCTGGGCTGACCCCATGTGGTCGTGGCCTTGTTATGGCACGATTTGGGCTTTAAAAAGTCTTGAGTTTCCCCACTGACTTAGGCAAAACGTAAAATCTACCTCATATGCATAAAATCTTTCCGACGAGGAATAGGCACCATGGAGGCAGTTCAGATAAACCTCTGTCATTTTTCATGCAGGGGAAATGTGTCCACACTCCCAGTTTCCCTGTCCAACAAGCCAAAGCAGTGCAATATAATGTTCATTTTTATTGTGGATGGGACACTCCCGGTCCTCTTAATCCCTCAAAACAAAGGAAATAAACAGAGAAGGGATAGAAGGGGAAACTCATACCCAGTTTGTGCCTTTCCCTTGCAATAAAAGGTTAAATGTTGCAGTGACTCCCTTGGCTCCAGTCTGGGAGCTTCGCCCCCAGATTTTGGGTGTGCCTGAACCCAGGGAGGTTGGTGCATGTGTCATCTGGTCACTCTG